ACATCCCATAATACTGGATATCAGCCCCCACAATGTCACATCCCATAATACTGGGTATCAGCTCCACAACATCACACCCCATAATACAGGGTATCGGCCCCATAGCATCATATCCCATAATACAGGGTATCGGCCCCATAGCATCACATCGCATTATACAGGATATCAGCCCACAACATCACATCTCATAATAGAGGGTATCAGCCCAACAATGTCACATCCCATAATACTGGGTATCAGCCCCACAATGTCACATCCCATAATACAGGGTAACAGCCCTACAATGTCACATCCCATAGTACTGGGTATCAGCCCCACAATGTCACATCCCATAATACAGGGTATCAGCCCCACAATGTCCCATCCCATAATACTGGGTATCAGCCCCACAATGGCACATCCCATAAGACTGGGTATCAGCCCCCACAATGTCACATCCCATAATACTGGGAATCAGCCCCACAATGTCACATCCCATAATACAGGGTATCAGCCCCCACAATGTCACATCCCATTATACTGGATATCAGCCCCACAATGTCACATCCCATAATACAGGGTATCAGCCCCACAATGTGACATCTCATAATACTGGGTATCAATCCCAGAATGTCACATCCCATAATAGTATAGGTATCAGCTCCACAACATCAAACCCCATAAAACTGGGTATCATCCCACAGTGCCAAACCCCTGAACACAGCCAGGGAAGCCTTCTAGTGTCACATCCCATAATATAGGAAATCAGCCCTACAATATCACACCCAATAATACTTGGTATCAGCCCCACAATATCACACCCAATGATACCGGGTATCAGCCCCACAATATCACACCCAATGATACCTGGTATCAGCCCCACAATATCACACCCAATGATACCGGGTATCAGCCCAACAATATCACACCCAATGATACCGGGTATCAGTCCCACAATATCACACCCAATGATACCTGGTATCAGCCCAACAATATCACACCCAATGATACCTGGTATCAGCCCAACAATATCACACCCAATGATACCTGGTATCAGCCCCACAATATCCCACCCAATGATACCGGGTATCAGCCCCACAATATCACACCCAATGATACCGGGTATCAGCCCCACAATATCACACCCAATAATACTGGGTATCAGCCCCACAATATCACACCCAATGATACCTGGTATCAGCCCCACAATATCACACCCAATAATATTGGGTATCAGTCCCACAATATCACACCCAATGATACCGGGTATCAGTCCCACAATATCACACCCAATGATACCTGGTATCAGCCCCACAATATCACACCCAATGATACCGGGTATCAAGGCAGAGGCGGTTATATAGTTACCACCATCCAAACAGTCAGTGTTTCACCCAATAATACTGGGTATCAGTTGACTTTAAAGACAAAACTATAAAACTGTATAGAAACTGTGATGAAAGAAAGTCTGCGTCTGTTTGACAATAGAATCACCAGCACAGTCTGAAGTGTCTCATAAAAGTTTGAAAAGTTATTTCAAAAACCATGGGAATAATGTGTCATGAAATATACACTAATGGCTATATAACAGATCAAAGCAAACAACACCATTACCCTGTAACGAACCTGCAAATACCGAAACAGGTGAAGAAATAAATTTGTTACAACCATTTCATTACACCATAACCGGAAACCTCAGAATGACTTACATATGTCTTGAAATTTTATGGCTTCCTCTTTCACCACAAAGTTTAAAGAGCTCTAATTATCCAGAAAGTTTCTATGTGTGAGAATTTCATTGCTGTTTAAATTCTTCCTTTTTCATATCATTTATTTAAAGCAAACAGTAACAGTATAAAAGCGGAATTCAATACCTTTTAATTTCTAACCACAGAAATTTTCTCCGCTTTGTATTGTTTACTTTTAAAAGTACGGCCTGTCAACACAATGACTTCTGCATCTTGTCAAAAACCGCAAACGAGCCCAGATCTGGTGTAGGTACAAAGATGACAAGCACTCGCTCAACACTGATCCGAGCATCAGTCATTTTCTCGCCATCCCAAGTACGAAACTATCCCTCGACACTTCTGTGAATGATGGGTCTTTCAATACAATTCAACATTATGCGTAACTATTAATGGCAGTTGCCCCACCACCGCTTTGCATTCATCATTTTAAAACGTCAAACGTAATTGACTTCGAAACAAATTAGCCGAGCAGATCTTGATAGATATTATTTATTAATATATATAAAATGCTATCCTTCGATGTTCCTGACAACCATGGACACGTCATCGTAAAGAATTCCTTGCCAACACTCCCTAATTTACATATGTATTAGAAGCGTACAAACTCCTGAACCATGAACAATCATGGTTAACTTGTGAATTGCCTTTTCACATCTAGTACGTAAAAGTTCTTTTTTTCCTTTTCATCGTAAATTGACAAGCATATGATAACAGGGCTATTTGATGTCTGTCAGGCCATGAAAAAGATAGGTCTGGACAAACGAAAGGATCACGAGCCTCATGAAACCGCAATTTAACACACAAAAGACACGATTTTATGAATGAAATTTGTAGAGAAAAATGTTCATAAAAGATGTTTTAAGTTCTTTTTTACCCATTGATTAAAAAGAAGCTGACGTTATGACAACGCCATCTATAAATTACCCGTAAGAGACCTAGCATTACTCACGAAATAAACCGGACCATATAAGGTACCGGAATAGTGTAGTCAGTTTCGTCCCCATCAAACACTTTACTCACAAATTGCTGCCTGTTTTTTAACGACAGTTTGACAGTTAACGTTAGCCCAAGGCCTGGAAGCCTTTCGACAAGTCCTTTAAAGTATACATGGTTACTGCAGAGTGCATTGATCTTTGTTAGAAGTTGTTCTTCACAATCACTGATCTTTGTGTTTCCTTTATTACTCCAGGGTTTTGCAAGTGAGCCGAAGCAGAAAATGAAGTTTACAAGTTCGACTTTCGACGTCTATGAAGTTTATATAGATTCTGCCGATGTTTTTGCAGAATCACAGCTGAAGCCTCACTCTGAGATGATCGTCCCGTACAATTTCCTGTGACATGATGTACTTTAGAGATGGCGACAAACAAGATTGAGTGCAAAAAAACCCGCAGAGCAGCATCAACCTTGTTTTAAGCTCGGGTCAACACAAAGGACATGTAAATGTGGAGTAAGTGAACAAATGACAGACAGAGAGAACAACTCTATACTAGCAAGTCATCAAATTGCTTTTATGCTTCATTCAATACCAAAGAAAATCTACATACATAGAACACGCAAGTCAACACTTCATGCGAATGAGAGTTAAGTTTCATCCAACAGAACAAGCTGTCGACAGTATACTCTTAAAACTTCTGGAAAAGGAAGAAAAATCTGCCATTAAAACCTTTCAAACTTAGGTCAACGAGTGGAATATCTATGTAGTCGGAACCGTCAAAACACTTTCAAACCAACACGAAAGAAAATCTGAGCCAGCAAAACACTTTCAAACAAACACGGCAGAAAATCTATCGTGCAAGCTGTCAATTCACTTTTAATCCCTGGTTCAAAGCAAAGAAACATCCATCTTGTGTAAACCATTAGCGCACCTTAAAAGCTTGGAAAGTGAGACAAACTGTGCATACAGTTCAAACACCTCAATGGCCCTGATCTATAATACATCACTACGGATATGGGCAGAGCAGACAGATAGCCAGCAGGTCATTTCATTTCCCATCATCTGTCTGGCTTAAGACCCGAGGGCCTTAAGTTCAAACTCTATGGAGACTGGCCCCCTTTTTTTCAAATTATGTCTATGTATCTTTTATGGAACAAAGCGAATATTTTCGTTTCGTTTCTAAGTAGGGTCACTTTTACTATATCAGGATAGACGAATATCTGGAAAAACTCGGACAGATTTTAAAGGATGAAATGTTCTGAAATATTTTCAGCTAACCCAGCCTTGGTTTCTATTTCTGGACATAACAGGGCCATGCTATGAAATATAAACAAATTTTTTGTGTTTTCTGAATTTGAAATAGAAAGGACAATAATAACTTCCAAGTTGTCTCCCTTGAAATGATGCTGTATTTGACAAATAGGCACACCTGCGTGATAATTGATATAGAAAAAGTAAAATTATGGTAAAATACCACATACAGTAGGTAATAATTAAACCTATAACGTCAGAGTATAAACTCCCAGCGAGAAAACAGTACACAAATTTGTCAACATCGCTATAATGAAAGTAATATCAAAAGATATATAATATATGTACAATGTTCCGTAAGCTGAAATATGGAAGCAGACGGAGAAAATGCCAAAAATATGATCAATCACCTCGAGTGACCTGGAGTGACGGGGCCAACAGCTGGATACTAATACCTGTTTATCCAGGTGTCGTTAATTACAATGTTTTTACCTGAGGACTCAGGTAGCGCTTCAAACTCTGGGTTAGTGCATTGTATCACAGAATTCATGTTTTTCTCTACTGTTCAACGGTCCAACCATATGAACCTTCTCACAAGGAAATCTTATTTTATTTTCCACATTTTATGTTTGGTTTTTTAATTGAATGTCATCTTTTCAATATTCAAATATCAAGACATAAATTGAGACAACTAGTGATGCACAGACATCACATTTCTCCAAATTTCTTCCCCATCTCAGGGCTAGACAATAAGGGTAACCTGCTAGTCTGAGACTTCTCAAATCTCCAGGTGGACTAGTGGTTCTAAAAATTGCTAGTCTGATTGATTAGTCAAAATTTGATAATACTTACCATGTTAAATAATATTGTTTTACTGGAAATTGCCATATGGACTAGTGAAATTGGTAACTGTTAGCCCGGCTGACTAATGTTTTTAAAATATCATTTTATTTTTATTTTTTCGTATTTCCGAAATTTTTCATTCGTGTCAACACATGTTAATTTCGAAATGACTAATTTTACTTTGCTTAAAGAAAATAGAAACTTTTCACCTGGTTGCAATGGTAGCAGGTATTAAACTGACTTACCTTAATGGTAGGGCCGGCTCGATTCCCCTCTGGGCAAAGCAGGCGGAAGGCTTGACGCTTAAAGTGGATCAGACAGTTGCTACAGTGTTGACAGTAGCCTCCTCCGCGGGGACTTGACCTCTCGCCCCGGCCTGTGGGGGGAAGGTGAACCACAACTCTGTCGTAAATCCCTGGGGCGTACTTAGAGCCGACCCCTTTACCCGACGGCGGGGTAGAACACATAAACGAATTCTCGTAGACTCCACTAGGACGTTTGGCTGGGGTAACATCTGAGGAGGGGGACAAGGCACGTCTCTCCTGAGATGGTGGCGACCGACAACGGGATGGGCCCCGATCACTGAGGGGTGACATAGCCCTATGTGGGCCCCTGTCTCTGGGAGGAGATTTACACCTATAGGGGTCGTGATCGCTTTCCGGCGATAAACACCTCTGCTGATTCCTCCCACTAGGTGGCGACATGCACCTTTGAGGACCCCTGTCGCTCGGAGGAGATTTACACCTTTGGGGGCCTCGATCACTTTCAGGAGATAAACACCTCTGTTGATTCCTACCACTAGGTGGCGACATGCACCTTTGCACGCCCCGATCATTGACAGGAGATGCAGGCCGTCCAAAAACAAACGACAACTCTGTGGCGGAGTCATCCGTGAACTTAACCTGGCCTCCGTCAGTAAGCGGTGAGAATGTTCCACGAATCGGGTAATCCATGATATCTTGATCCTGGGGGGTTGAGAAATCCATGCAAATATCCTCACCGTTGTGTAGTATTGGCCCCCCTCGGCTGACCCAATCCGACCCCTCCTTAATGGCTCGAAGCTCTTTCACTGTGGCAGACTTTTGGGATTTGTCTGGAGACGGCGACGGCAATTTTCGGATTTTCGCCTCACCACCAAACATGTGTACCGCAGTCTTCACACTGACAGTTTCTGTGTAGCCGTCTCTGTCATTCTGAAATTACATAAGAACGGGAAAATATTATAACCTTACTCGGAAAATCCTTTTGAGCATTAGAACTTTGTAAAGCTAAAATTAAAGACATTTTTCTTAGTTATACACTTCAGAGATACTTTTTAATAATGTTTAACGAACAATACATACTTGTTATACTGCCATTTTGTGTAAAGTGAAAATTTGGCATTATAAAGGAGTATCCGTCAGATCAAGGTAGCTGTTTAACAAATTGATATGAAAAAGACAAAAGCAAGCTTTCTTTAACTTTGGCAGTTCAAGTTGGGTGGAAAATTAAACAAAAGGATATTATTATATCAGTTTTCAATGTATACATGTATTTTGGGACAGTGCAATATGCAACTGGTAAAACTTGAGACATATTAATTAAGTTTTGACAAAATATCAAATTTTGATTGAGTTTCCAATTTAAGAGTCAGAAATCACACAAGATTTGATACAAAATGTCTGATGTGATTTTTTTCATCTTTATAATAAAAATTATAAATAAGATCTATGAGCTGATGTAAGACTGTTCCGTTTTGTGATATACATACACACACAGACTACTCTGTATAGGTAATTTTTCTCTCTTGACACCCTGATTTAACGGACTAGTTTGTCAGGTAAGGTGTCATTGTCTCACCTGAGAAATGTCACCTGTATTCATTAGGAAGAAATATTTACCTCGACCCATAATTCATCACTGTAAACAAAATAAATCTGACATCCTGGATTTGACAACGTTTGTTTTGGAGGGAGAAAAAAAACACCTCTGTTTATAAAGACGGTAAATCCGAAACACTGAGGCGTGGAAACTGTAGGTCTGATGTTTGTGAAATAGACCCTCATTCGTCTTAATCATTTCAAGAGTAGATATCGCCTTGACATATATATACCAACATACATATTCTTTATAAACCTATTCTATATCATAACTCTATTATTTTAGCGTTTATGTAAGTACATAGTATTAAAACACTTCAAAAGATAATAGCAAAAAATCACTCATACATGTATACATGTATAAATGTTTTATTTTATAATTATTTAAAAAAAAAAGTCTTTTGAAGATTGCTTTGTTCCAGATAAGCCTGGGCCAACACTGATATTTTAAGAACATTCATTGTAAAACTATTTTGCAATCCGATTCAACAATATCACCTACTCATATATTCATTGTTGTTCAAGTTCTTGTATTGTTCTTAATTTAATTAAGATGTTGTGCATATTTTGTACACAATATAATTGTACCCATTTGAATAATCATAAAAATATTGTCAGACAAAGTAACACATTTGATCTTTCACGGCAAGAACCAACTTTTCAACTGCATTGTCCTGTTCAAATTTTAAACGCCAAATTAAAATTCAGTAACAGGAAAAAATAATTCATTAACGTGTTTGAACTAATTATCTGACAGACATCATGAGCTGATATATATCACATGAACCGTGAAATCGTGAATCGACTCTGGTAACCAGCTTACGTAATTACGTGATTGTGTTCGGTAATCTCAACCATTTATCTGGCCAAGTAGTACCTATTTGTCGGAGTGTTAACCCTTCGTTTCCAGCCGTCCATGCACTTGGTTCAGACTTTAAGAATCCCAGAGACCATACAGGCTATGGAAAATGGGGATCGAGCTAGAAAATCCTTACATGGCACTCTTTTTCGGGGTTATTAAGGAACTGTGACAGATTCCATTTAAAATACTAGGCTTTATTTAGGGGGCACCTGTACTAGCGTCTGGGTTAATGATAATGACATTTATTCAAAACTACTTAAGGGTAAATAACATTTAAAGACAGTGTTGAAAATGTGTATATATCATTTGGTTTGTATGTATAGTTTGCAATAGACATCTGCCTGTCGAGTCGAAGACGATATATTTTAGATCCCACAGACGTAGGGCGTAGTCTGGGCGCTGATAAGTACCACAGTTTAGGTGTACATGGTACTTTAAGGTCGCCAAGGTCTTCGAGCACATCACTCAAAATTACACCAAAAATACATTACAGGCTTAAAAATACATTGTACTGCTCTGACAGCATTACCAATGTAACTGATTAAGAAAATAAAAACGTAACAATGAAATATTGGAATGTTAGACATTGCAGTTTTGGTCAACTTTGATAATGCCAAAAAGTCAATTCTGCTGAGCTCTGCAGAACTTTATTTGCAGAATTGCGGCAAGAAATTTTAATGAATTTTATAATCATATAATTTTCAAATAAAGTGCAATGAAACCCATTAAAGTACAATTACTTTTTATACGGTGTCAACATACAATGCAGTCATTTCACAAGTTCGACGGAAACTGATCAAATTACGAATCTTCAGATAGCCGATTTGGCTAGTGACTGTTTTTAAGGAAATGTACAGTTCTGTTATCCCAAGATTGAGTACATTCACGCATTTTCTCTGACAAAGGAAAATCCTACGGCTTAAATTCACATCAGTGACCATTTATCATAGTAGGCCATTAAGCGAGACCTTTCTCATCCAATATTGGACTGAAAAGCCACAATACCAACCGTCCATTTTTGGTGTACGACCATTTTTCCCCGTTAATCCTCAAGCAGGGGAGTCATTAATGAATATCTTCATCAGTAATTTCATTTTCTTCAATGTACTTTAATTTGTCGCAATGATTACCCCATGGTTTCACACCTCAGTTCCGATAATTAAAAGAAATCTACAATCTGCCATCTCGGTTTAATTGGTTGGGTCATATCCCCTTCTATCACGTTTTTTGGTCAAAACCCTGTAGCCACCTATCTCATCATGGTAGCCTAGAGGCTTGGTCTAGCACCTTAAACGTCAAAACCCATCTGTATCGCCAATTCAAAACAATATTTTCCATTCAAGCAATTCAGCGATTTGTCTCGTAAATCTGCTAGTGTTGTGTTCATCGCCACTATTTATGTCCAGGTTTCCACCACGGTAATTGCGAGATGTAGTACATCACATGGTGGAAACCACCCCCAGCATCTGTATCTTGTACTTTTATCCCTTAAACTAGTTAACTTATTAATTAATTAGAAACTTAAGAATTTGTTAGTTTTTGTAATATCATTATGAATTCTGAATCATACTAATTATAATTTAAAGCAAAATTTCTCTTAATTCATAAAAAAAAAAAAAAAAAAAAAAAAAATAACCTAGTAATTTTTTCAGAAAAAGGAAAGAAATTAAGAAAACTGAGATTTTTTATGCAAAGTACATTTGTAGCTCGCGCCATAATCTCTGTAAGGATTTAAATCAGAATCTAGCTAAATTGATACAATAATCATATCTTATGGTACTATCTTTCAAGAGAAAATTTAGAACAGTGAAAAATAGAAATATTAATTCATAATATAATATTTACTTGTGACAACTATTTGACTCAAGCCGATGAAGAGGCATGTTGGTNGGGGTCTGAAAAGAGTGTTAAAAGTTACAGAGATGCCTATAGCTGTCTCAAATTTTGTTGCTTTAATATTTCCTTCAATTTGTAAAACTCTTCAACTCTGTCAAGATTTGTGTTTGTGAACTTATCTTCGTTCAAATAATACTACAATGTCCTTGCATATTATATGTTATGTAGATACTGTCCATGAAGCCTTTATTCCGGTCTTGGCTAGTGTTTCGTGTTTTCCGATAAGCACCATATTGAACCGTACAATCTAATTGTTCTGGTCATCTCAATGAGATAAATGTGATAAAAAGCACCCGACCCTAATTGTTTAATCTTGAATGTCAAACGTTCACAGGACTAAGATATTATACATCGCCTGTTACATCACAGGTCCATACATTCGAAGCGTCTGTTTACTGTTTGTCTAACGTGATGGAGTGTCTGTCTGATGTCCTCATCGAACCACTTAACAAACTTCATTTGAAATCTAATCTACCCTTCTGTACGCCGTAGAACAAAGAACACACGAACCAGTTAGTCAACAAAACTACATTTTATAATCAGAGAATAAATAGATGTCTATCTTATACCTACCTAGGGCCTGAAGTGTTATCATACCAATATAGACAAGTAGGCCCTCACTACACACATACAACCATTCTTTACAAGCCTTTCATCTACCCTGAACTGATAACTATGATCTGGGTCAAAGAGATGCTTCTTTCAAGAAGGACTAGGGTTGCTATGGAGGTAGTACTGCTTTGCATTTGTTTTATGCTTAAACAATCTAATAGAAAACTTTAGGCTAAATTGTTTATATATTTCATAAAATATAGTGCAGCTCTGATCTGTTTAACCTTAAAAAGTTTATGGACTCCTCTAAAAACTGTAGAAAGTCTGCATTTATTTTCATAGTAACCTCCATTGCAAAGAGTGGGTTGGAAGAAAAACGATAATAGGGCCATATCATTAGTAGCCTTAATTCTTCGAACAAAGTTCTACGAATCAGTAAAAATACCCATTAACATATGAAGACACATTTCGCTACAAATACATGTATCTTATTTTTTAAGAGAAAGATATCCATTTTCGAATTACCTTCCGATTTTTGTACCCATAATGCCAAGGACAAAACCTATTATTTTTTTTAAATCCCAACGCAAGACACTTCCAATAGGCTTTTTCTCTAATTTCGTCGGAATGAAAAAACATATTTGAAACCAAATATTTGAAAAATCCTTTGATATTTCATCAATTTGCTTAAGAGTGTGCAGTACAACCTATAATTATATAAGGGTTAATTTGGCTGTGCCGATTTCTAATGATCCCATTATAGTCTTATTTTACTCAAGATTTTAAAGAAATTTTACTCAGAAAGAAAGTGTCATTTATCAAAAGGATGGTTAATGCCCCATGTATCAGGATTCTGTCTTCGGGATTCAAATATTCTCAACACTTTCTATTAATCAATGTCGACTGTTATAATGCGAGTCACTTAATTCCCTTTCGGTTTTTGGGGTCTGAATTCTCATCCCCTGATACATAGAGAAATAAGCACCCTGTGTCCCTTTAAGGGAGCCCATACTGTGTCCCGCTA